CCCCATACTGGCTACCCCACTACAGCCTACCAACATAACACAGTTTAACACACCCCCATAGGCAAAGTGGGGGAGAACAAAGGGTCACAAGACCAGTCTAGCAAAGCAAAGCAAGCCCAGGGTGGATCACAACGTCACCACACTCCGAGCACAAGCAAAAGGCCACAAGGCCAGTTCACATGCAGTGCTAGATATAGTACAAGACAAGCAACACAGTGATCAAGACCTAGCAAGCAAGCAACGAGATATATATAAAGGACAGTACAAAGAAAGTCAAGCAGTAAGCAAATGAGGAAACGTGGACACAAGGCCTAAGGAAGTACAGTGCCGCTGATGATCACTAGGCGGGAGCGCCTTGGTGAAGATATCAGCAGTGTTGGCCTTCGAGTCCACGTACACAAGCCGAAGCTGACCTCGCTGCTGCAGCTCTCGAGCAAGAAAGTAGCGAAGAGCAATGTGCTTCGTCCTGTGCTCCAGTCTGTGCTCCTGACACAAGGCAAGGGCCGCCTTGTTGTCACCGTACAGAACTGGAGGAGAACTAGGCCGCTCTCCCAAGTCAGTCAGCAGGTAGGTGAGCCAGCGTAACTCCTGGGCAGCCATGGCTATGGCGTAGATCTCAGCCTCACAACTAGAGCCGAGAACAGAAGAAGAGCGGGTGGACCGCCACGAGACAGAACCAGAGCCAAGGCTGAAGGTGTTAACCCTGTGACGACCGCTGCGTAGCCAGGTCGTCCACCCAAGAAGCGTCCGAGTGACCAGTGAGGACAACTCTGTCGCGTCCTCCAAGCACCAGTCCCATGCCTGATGTACTGCACAAGTAGCGCAGCACCCTCTTAGCAGCCTCCCAGTGCTCTCGCCTGTGTCTCCCAGGCGCAACGTAACGAGCAAGGATGCTAAGAGGGTACGCGAGGTCAGGTCGCGTGCAAGTCATCAGGTACATGAGGCAGCCTACAAGCTCTGGGTACGGGCCACTCGGCTCTACGGACTCGTCCGAAGGTGGAGCTGAGAGCGAGTGGCTGGTAGCCAGAGGTGTGGCCTGTGGTGAGGAGAACTGGAAGCCGAAGCGCTGAAGGACCTGCTGCACCATGTGTGACTGAGTCAGGGTGATGGTGCGGCGAGCTCTGTCCCGGGTGATCTGCAAGCCAAGGTAGCTACGCAGCTCACCCAGGTCAGTGCAGGTGTGTCTCTTCTGCAGCTCCGACTTCACACGAGCGAGTGCCTCAGTGTCAGCAGTAGCAAAGACCAAGTCGTCGACGTACACGAGAATGTAGAACGGCGGCAGCGACGTGTCTGTGCGCAGAAACAGCGACGGGTCAGCAGTAGACGGCGCGAACCCAAGAGCCGCAAGTGTAGTCCTCAGTGTGTCGTGCCACTCGCGTGGCGCCTGGCGGAGACCGTAGACTGGCCGGCGGAGGCTCCACTGGGTACCAGGAGGAAACGACCCAGTAAAGCCAGGTGGGCGGCGCAGCCAGATCTCCTCGTGCAGGCTGCCCTGCAGGAACGCTGTGCTGAAGTCAAGAGAGTGAAGCTCGTAGTCACGCTGAGCAGCAACGTGCAGCAGAACCCGAAGAGTGGTCATCTTCGGGGTGGGGAGAAGGTCTGGAAGAAGTCGACCCCCTGACGCTGACTGAAGCCTCTAGCAACGTAACGAGCCTTGAAGACAGGCGGAGAACCTGGCGGCCGCTTCACCCTGAAAATCCACATGCCATCGACGATGTTCGCCCCAGGAAGGGGAACCTCGTCGACGTAGGTGCCTGTGGACTTCCAGGATGCCATCTCTGCGTCCATGGCTGTCTGCCACTGAGAGGAGTAGGGACCCGAGATCGCCTCTGCGTAAGTGCGGGGGGGGATGTCTAGTGCATCCGGGTCTCCCTCAGGGGCAAGCAACCAGGCCACGAGATGAGGTACAGCAGCCGCAAGAGAGTCAAGGTCCTCCTGCCTGTCCTCAAGGACGTCCGTGCCAAGAGCACACTCACCCCACCCCCGACGGACGGAGGACAGACAGACGCAGACTCAGACCCAGCAACAAGGCGAGCAGCGTAGTCTAGACGACAGGCAGCAGCAAAGTCAACCAACTCAGCGACCAGAGCAGACGCAGCCGAGGACTCAAAGGTAGGGTCAGTGACAACAGTAGCTAGGAGACGCGTGACAGTAGGGTGCTCAGCACGATACCGGTCAGACTCAGGGTCCGGAACAGCAGGCAAAGAGGACGCAGGAGGAGACGGCAGAGGGACACGCTGAGGAGCAGTAGAGGGACGCAGAGTCATGTAGTGAGTGCCTGGGACAGGAGGAGGACGCTCACGACGGACACGACGACCAGTGCGAGCAGTACGGACAGGCGACGCAGGACGAGACTCAGGCTCACGACGCTCTGTAAGACCTCCTGTGGGACCAGTGTAAGGAGAGGGAGCAGGGAGAGGCGAGGCAGGCGGTAACTGTGACTGTGGCTGGACAGGCGGAGGACACTCTACGGAGGGAGGAGGACAAGGAGGAGGAGCCTGCCCAAGAACCTGCTGAAGGAGCGGTACGAAGTACGGCCGCGGCCGCGCAGCGTCTCCAGAAGCAGAAGAGACTCCTCCAGCGTCCGGGTCCCCACATCATCAGCAGCAGCAGCAGCAGCAGCGCCACCGCTCGGGTCCTCAGCTCCAGCAGCAGCTCCACCAGGTGGGTCCGCAGCACCAGCAGCAGCACCACCCCTAGGGTCCGCAGCAGCAGCACGCAGAAGAGCACCCCCAGAGTCGGCAGCTACAACTCCGCTAGCGCCGCCAGCTCCAGAGTCCCCAGCTCCAGCAGCTCCAGTCGTAGTGCTCCCAGAACAACCAGTCCCGGCAGCTCCAGTACCCCCAGCTCCAGCCGAGCCACTAGGACGGCGAAAGCGCCGGACGTACCAGTCACGAAGCTGCTGTGGTGTGAGAGACTGCTCAGCACCCCGAACCGGAGCACCCCCAGACGCAGCAACCCGAGGCTCCGTAGGCTCAGTAGCAGCACCCCCAGGCTCAGTACCCGCAGGCGCAGCACCCCCAGACTCAGCACCCCCAGACTCCGCACACGCCGGCTCAGCACCCCCAGTCGCAGCACCCCCAGGCTCAGCACCCCCAGGCGCCGAACTCTCAGGCACAGTACCCTCAGCTCCAGCACCCGTAGTCCCAGCACCCCCAGGCCCAGCACCGCAGGCTCAGCACTCCCCGGCAGCACACACCACATGCAGCAGCACCTGAGTCACCTGTGACCTCGACAGGCTCAGCGACGGGAGGAGGGTCTACCTGAGAGACACCTGAAGGAGCAGGACCCTGAGGGGGAAGGGGGTCTACCGGAGGGGGACCAGGAGCAAGGAAAAGCGGCGGGGGAGGGAGGGGGGCAGTACGGTAGGGGAAGAGACGGTAAAAAGGGACCGACTCGTCAAAGGTGACGTCCTGAGAGGCGAAGACCCGGCGCGAGGTGGGGTGGTAAAACTGCCAGCCCGGCGCGTCAGGGACAAAGCCAAGGAAGACACAGGGAAGCGTGCGGGAGGAGAGCTTGTCCGCGGACGTATCGCGGACAAGGGCACGAGCACCCCACACCCGGAAGCGCGACGCATCGCCAACCTCCCCCGTCCAACGCAGTGTGGGCGAGGTCTCCGGCAAGGAGACACGGGGCCAGAGGTTGAGCTGATGCGCGGCGTACCGGACAGCAAACGGCCACAGAAAATGGGGAGCCGCCGCGTGGACCAAGGAGGTACGAGCGACCTCCATGACCAGGCCAATGCGGCGCTCAGCAACCCCATTCTGCTGTGGGGAGTCCGGAAGCGTGAAGGTCTGCTCGATGCCCTCCGCCTGACAGAAGGTCCTCAAGAGGTCGGAGGAAAACTCACCACCTCTGTCAGAGTGCAGACGCAGGACAGGAAGATCCGTCCGGAAACGGCGGCGGAGCTGGAGACGAACTGTGCGGATCCAAGGGATCAGAACAGCAGGGACCTCACCCTTGGTGCGCAAGGGGAAGACCGTGGTGTAACGCGAGTAGTCGTCGACAACCAGCAAAAAGTACCGCTCACCGCCCTGGCCACGAACGCGGGCTGGGCCCCACACGTCCAGGTGGAGGGTCTGCAGAGGAGCCTCTGTCGGGGGGAACGAGGAGGAGTGAGGAGCGGCGCGCTGCCGCCCCTCGACGCAAGGAAGGCAAGGCGGCGCAGGCGAGGAAGGGAGAGGAGGGAGGGACCTGGGAAGACCAGACACAAGGCGGCGACGGTGCATGCCACGGAGGCGTGGCAAGGAGGGGTGACCCAGGCGGTGGTGCCAGAGAAGAGTCTGGTGCGACAGGGAACGACACTCACAGGCGTGGGCCACCAGACCTGACGCGGACACCTGACCGACAGCAGCGACCTGAGGAGACGCAGTGGTCAGTGTGTAGAGACTCGACCCCGGCCGACGAGTAAACGTAGCCAGGTGACGGCCGGTCCTGGAGCACGTGCAGATCGCCACACGCTGTCCTCCAGGGGTAAAGGTGTCAACCCACTGATCCTGGAGGACAGCGTTGCTCACCAGGTTCGTCGAGAACGAGGGGAGGTGGAAACCCGTCAACGAGCCAGACGGAACGCCGAAAAGGGAGCACAGTGGTGGACTGGGCAAGGACTGGGCCCCCAGAGGGGTCAGCCAAGGAGACTGGGACCGGTGCAGGAAGCGGTGTGAGCTCAGTACTGTCTCGAAAGAAGCAGCGGGAAGCACCTGAGTCAAGGGTGAAGGTGTGACAGGTCTCAGCCGGTGCAGTACCTGAGAGAGCAGTCTCTGTGGGTGCTGTACCTGAGAGAGCAGACTCGCAAGCAGCAGGGACAGTGCTGGAGGGAGCAGGTACAGGGGGCACCATACCAGAGAGAGCAGACTCACTAGTACCTAGGGCAGCGGGCCCTATACCTGGGTCAGGCGGCACACACAAGTAACAGTCTCCCTCGGCACTAACAGTCAATGCATACATGGCAGCAATAATAGCATCATAGTCAAGAGCAAAGATATCAACACCAGCCCTCATCAGCTCAGCCCAGCGAGGGCGCTCAACATCCTCGCCCATCTCCTCACGCCAAGCGTCGTCAAGGCGGAAGAAGCAGCGGTACTGAGTGTGGAACTTTCCACACGTCTGCCCCTTGCGATCACCTGTGCGAATGACATAGGAACAGCGGCCACTGCCCCCCGACGTCCCACGCTGAGCAAGCCACTCACGAAGCTGCTGGGTCGTCTGGGGACGCTGCTGCTGCTGGGAGCTCTGGCCCGAGCCGGTGCCTCCACTCCGACCTCCACCGCCGCCACTACCTCCGCTCCGACCGCCACCACCGCCACCACCACCACCACCGCCACACCACCCCCGCCACCGCCGCACTTCCGCCGCTGCCACCCACCGCCACTGCTCCTGCCGCCGCCACCGCTCCCTCCAGCACCGCCTCCCCCCCCACCTCCCCCACCCCCTCCCCCCCCACCTCCCCCACCCCCTCCCCCCCCAGCGCCACCCCCGCCACCCTTGCCCCCCTTGCCCTTGCCGGTGCGGCGCCTCCCACCAGGAGCAGAAGCAGCGCCAGCAGACTCAGCACCAAGGAAGTCAACAGCAGCAGCAGTAGCATAGGAGGGAGCGAGGGGAGAGGGAGAGCACCCCTCAAAGATGGGGGTGCGAGGAGCGCCGCGAGCAGCACCTACAGCTACAATGCTCTTCTCGGCTGCTAGCAGCTTCTCCTCTAGGAGGGCGACAGTGAGCTCAGTGGGACAGCGAGCAAGGAAATAGTCGCGCACTGAGCTGAGGGTGTCAGGGAGACGGGTGACTATGAAGTGGAGTGCCCAGTACAGGGGAGGGGGGTTCTTAGCGCAGAACTCGGTGGGAAGGGCGGCACGCAGGCGAGCATCACTAGTGCGAAGGTGGGTGATAAGATCGGCGACTGTAGCAAAGGTGGACAGGTCAGGGAACAGGTAAGGCAGCATGAGACGGCTAAGCTCGGCTGTGGCAGGTGAGGAGTAGCGAGCAACGACAGCGGGTATAGGGCTTTAGCGGTTTTGCAGTCGCCAAAGTGCTCTAGCTCAGCTAACGGCAGGTGACTGCGAATAGCCAGGCGAGCTGCAGCGTCACGAGTCTGCCACTGTGAACGTACACTAAGCTCGGCTGTGGCAGCAGGAGCAGCGGCAGCACCAGACGCGTAGTCATAGAGGGAGATGTGGTCCGTGCTATTGCTCATAAGATACAACTGCAGGTCGTCGAGCCAGGAAGTGAACTGCACGGGACGGCCCTCAGCATCGAAGGAAAGAACGCGAATAGAGGCCATAGCTCAGGCGTGAGGGCACAGCAGAGCAGCGGCAGCAGCAGAGGGGACGCGCTAGAGCGAAGCTAGCAGCCACAGCAGGAGCAAGCGGCGGTGCACAGGCAGGGAGCAGCAGGCGAGGCGGGCGGCGCTGCAGGCGGGAAGTGCGGCGGGCGGGCTGCGAAGCGGGCAGCGGGGCGGGCGGGCGACGCGGCGAGCGGCAGCGCGGTGGGCGCTGCGAAGCGGGCAGCGGGCGGGCGGGCGACGCTGCAAGCGGGCAGCGGGCGGGCGGGCGACGCTGCAAGCGGGCAGCGAGGCGGGCGGGCGACGCTGCAAGCGGGCAGCGGGCGGGCGGGCGACGCTGCGAGCGGGCAGCGAGCGAGCGGGCGACGCTGCGAAGCGGGCAGCGGGCGAGCGACGCTGCGAGCGGGCAGCGAAGCGGGCGGGCCGCGAAGCGGGCAGCGAGCGGGCGGGCGGGCTGCGAAGCGGGCAGCGGGGCGAGCGGGCTGCGAAGCGGGCAGCGGGGCGAGCGGGCGACGCTGCGAGCAGGCAGCGCGGCGGGCGGGCGGCGAGCGGCAGCGGGCGGGCGGGCGACGCTGCGAGCAGGCGGCTCGGCGGGCGGGCGACGCTGCGAGGGGCGCGCGAGGGCGCTAACGAGGGGCGCTCGAGGGCGCTAGCGAGGGCGCGCGAGGGCGCTAACGAGGGGCGCGCGAGGGCGCTAACGAGGGCGCGCGAGGGCGCTAACGAGGGCGCGCGAGGGCGCTAACGAGGACGCACGAGGGCGCTACGAGGCTAGGGCACGGGGTAGCGTGGTAACCGCATGCGAGCGGTGGTGGGCCCTTAAAAGAAACGGTCGATAGGTCCTAGGGACCTCCTGCTCTGAATACCATGTCAACAGGACTAAGCAAGAATGTGTCATTGAATGGAAGAATTGGGTACAAGTAGCAAACCCTAGTTGGGGTTGTACCCCATACTGGCTACCCCACTACAGCCTACCAACATAACACAGTTTAACACTCGCAACCCTCCCACGCCATCGCTGGCTTGGCAATAGGACTAGACAAGCGCAGCCTTATGACCCGGCGGAAGAGAAACGCTCGAAACGAGCGCTCCCAGCCCCAAAACGTGGAAGGATCCGCACATGTGCAGGAAGTGCATCGGGCGCTCTTCATTCGCGAGCGCCGATGACCGATGATGCTCGCAACCCTCCCACGCCCTTGCTGGCTTGGCAATAGGACCAGACAAGCGCAGCCACGTGAGCCGCGAAAGAAAACGCTCGAAACGAGCGCTCCCACCCCCAAAACGCGGAAGGATCCGCACATGTGCAGGAAGTGCAGCAGGCGCTCTTCATTCGCGAGCGCCGATGACCGATGATGCTCGCAACCCTCCCACGCCCTTGCTGGCTTGGTAATAGGACCAGACAAGTGCAGCCACGTGAGCCGGCGGAAGAAAAACGCTCGAAACGAGCGCTCCCACCCCCAAAACGCGGAAGGATCCGCACATGTGCAGGATGTGCAGCGGGCGCTCTTCATTCGCGAGTGCCGATGACCGATGATGCTCGCAACCCTCCCACGCCCTTGCTGGCTTGGCAAGAGGACCAAACAAGCGCAGCCACGTGAGCCGTCGGAAGAAAAACGCTCGAAACGAGCGCTCCCACCCCCAAAACGCGGAAGGATCCGCACATGTGCAGGAAGTGCAGCGGGCACTCTTCATTCGCGAGCGCCGATGACCTATGATGCTCGCAACCCTCCCACGCCCTTGCTGGCTTGGTAATAGGACTAGACAAACGCAGCCACGTGACCCATCGGAAGAAAAACGCTCGAAACGAGCGCTCCCACCCCCAAAACGCGGAAGGATCCGCACATGTGCAAGAAGTGCAGCGGGCGCTCTTTATTCGCGAGCGCCGATGACCGATGATGCTCGCAACCCTCCCAGGCTTTTGCTGGCTTGGTAATAGGACCAGACAAGCGCAGCCACATGACCCGGCGGAAGAGAAGCGCTCAAACGAGCGCTCCCAACCCCAAAACGCGGATGGATCCGCACATGTGCAGGAAGTGCTGCGGGCGCTCTTCATTCGCAAGCGCCGATGGCCGATGGTGCTCGCAACCTACACGCCCTTGCTGGCTTGGTAATAGGACCAGACAAGCGCAGCCACATGACCCGGCGGAGGAGAAGCGCTCGAAACGAGCGCTCCCACCCCCAAAACGCGGAAGGATCGCACATGTGCAGAAAGTGCAGGTGACCGATGACCGATGACCGATGATGCTCGCAATTTCAGAATAACTAGCCAAGAATGAATGAACTAGCAGAAGTTTGGGTACAAATATGAAACCCTAGTTGGGGTTGTACCCCATAATGGCTACCCCACTACAGCCTACAAGCATACTACAGTTTAACACACCCCCATAGGCAAAGTGGGGGAGAACAAAGGGTCACAAGACCAGTCCAGCAAAGCAAAGCAAAGCAAAGCCCAGGGTGGATCACAACGTCACCACACTCCGAGCACAAGTAAAGGCCACAAGGCCAGTTCACATGCAGTGCTAGATATAGTACAAGACAAGCAACACAGTGATCAAAACCTAGCAAGCAAGCAACAAGATATATATAAAGTACAGTACAAAGAATGTCAAGCAGTGAGCAAGTGAGGAAACGTGGCCACAAGGCCACAAGGCCTAAAGAAGTACAGTGCCGCTGATGATCACTAGGCAGGAGCGCCTTGGTGAAGATATCAGCAGTGTTGGCCTTCGAGTCCACGTACACAAGCCGAAGCTGACCGCGCTGCTGAAGCTCTCGAGCAAGAAAGTAGCGAAGAGCAATGTGCTTCGTCCTGTGCTCCAGTCTGTGCTCCTGACACAAGGCAAGAGCCGCCTTGTTGTCACCGTACAGAACTGGAGGAGAACTAGGCCGCTCTCCCAAGTCAGTCAGCAGGTAGGTGAGCCAGCGTAACTCCTGTGCAGCCATGGCTGTGGCGTAGATCTCAGCCTCACAACTAGAGCCGAGAACAGAGGAAGAGCGGGTGGACCGCCACGAGACAGAACCAGAGCCAAGGCTGAAGGTGTAACCCTGTGACGACCGCTGCGTAGCCAGGTCGTCCACCCAAGAAGCGTCCGAGTGACCAGTGAGGACAACTCTGTCGCGTCCTCCAAGCACCAGCCCCATGCCTGATGTACTGCACAAGTAACGCAGCACCCTCTTAGCAGCCTCCCAGTGCTCTCGCCTGTGTCTCCCAGGCGCAACGTAACGAGCAAGGATGCTAAGAGGGTACGCGAGGTCAGGTCGCGTGCAAGTCATCAGGTACATGAGGCAGCCTACAAGCTCTGGGTACGGGCCACTCGGCTCTACGGACTCGTCCGAAGGTGGAGCTGAGAGCGAGTGGCTGGTAGCCAGAGGTGTGGCCTGTGGTGAGGAGAACTGGAAGCCGAAGCGCTGAAGGACCTGCTGCACCATGTGTGACTGAGTCAGGGTGATGGTGCGGCGAGCTCTGTCCCGGGTGATCTGCAAGCCAAGGTAGCTACGCAGTTCACCCAGGTCAGTGCAGGTGTGTCTCTTCTGCAGCTCCGACTTCACACGAGCGAGTGCCTCAGTGTCAGCAGTAGCAAAGACCAAGTCGTCGACGTACACTAGAATGTAGAACGGCGGCAGCGACGTGTCTGTGCGCAGGAACAGCGACGGGTCAGCAGTAGACGGCGCGAACCCAAGAGCCGCAAGTGTAGTCCTCAGTGTGTCGTGCCACTCTCGTGGCGCCTGGCGGAGACCGTAGACTGGCCGGCGGAGGCTCCACTGGGTACCAGGAGGAAACGACCCAGTAAAGCCAGGTGGGCGGCGCAGCCAGATCTCCTCGTGCAGGCTGCCCTGCAGGAACGCTGTGCTGAAGTCAAGAGAGTGAAGCTCGTAGTCACGCTGAGCAGCAACGTGCAGCAGAACCCGAAGAGTGGTCATCTTCGGGGTGGGGGAGAAGGTCTGGAAGAAGTCGACCCCCTGACGCTGACTGAAGCCTCTAGCAACGTAACGAGCCTTGAAGACAGGCGGAGAACCTGGCGGCCGCTTCACCCTGAAAATCCACATGCCATCGACGATGTTCGCCCCAGGAGGGGGAACCTCGTCGACGTAGGTGCCTGTGGACTTCCAGGATGCCATCTCTGCGTCCATGGCTGTCTGCCACTGAGAGGAGTAGGGACCCGAGATCGCCTCTGCGTAAGTGTGGCGGAGTGGGGATGTCTAGTGCATCCGGGTCTCCCTCAGGGGCAAGCAACCAGGCCACGAGATGAGGTACAGCAGCCGCAAGAGAGTCAAGGTCCTCCTGCCTGTCCTCAAGGACGTCCGTGCCAAGAGCACACTCACCCCCGACGGACGGAGGACAGACAGACGCAGACTCAGGCTCAGCAACAAGGCTAGCAGCGTAGTCTAGACGACAGGCAGCAGCAAAGTCAACCAACTCAGCGACCAGAGCAGACGCAGCCGAGGACTCAAAGGTAGGGTCAGTGACAACAGTAGCTAGGAGACGCGTGACTGTAGGGTGCTCAGCGCGATACCGGTCAGACTCAGGGTCCGGAACGGCAGGCAAAGAGGACGCAGGAGGAGACGGTAGAGGGACACGTCGAGGAGCAGTAGAGGGACGCAGAGTCATGTAGTGAGTGCCTGGGACAGGAGGAGGACGCTCACGACGGACACGACTACCAGCGCGAGCAGGACGAACAGGCGACGCAGGACGAGACTCAGGCTCACGACGCTCTGTAAGACCTCCTGTGGGACCAGTATAAGGAGAGGGAGCAGGGAGAGGCGAGGCAGGCGGTAACTGTGACTGCGGCTGGACAGGCGGAGGACACTCTACGGAGGGAGGAGGACAAGGAGGAGGAGCCTGCCCAAGAACCTGCTGAAGGAGCGGTACGAAGTACGGTCGCGGCCGCGCAGCGTCTCCAGAAGCAGAAGAGACTCCAGCGGCCGGGTCCTCAGCACCAGTAGGAGCTCCAACGTCCGGGTCCCCAGCACCAGCAGCAGCGCCACCGCTCAGGTCCTCAGCTCCAGCAGCAGCTCCACCAGGCGGGTCCGCAGCACCAGCAGCAGCGCCACCCCCAGAGTCGGCAGCTCCAACTCCGCTAGCACCGCCAGCTCCAGAGTCCCCAGCTCCAGCAGCTCCAGTCGCAGTGCTCCCAGAACAACCAGTCCCGGCAGCTCCAGTACCCCCAGTACGAGCACCCCCAGGACGAGCAGCCCCAGCACCCCCAACTCCAGCCGAGCCACTAGGACGGCGAAAGCGCCGGACGTACCAGTCACGAAGCTGCTGCGGTGTGAGAGACTGCTCAGCACCCCGAACCGGAGCACCCCCAGGCTCAGTACCCGCAGGCTCAGTACCCGCAGGCTCAGCACCCCCAGACTCAGTACCCCCAGACTCCGCACACGCAGGCTCAGCACCCCCAGTCGCAGCACCCCCAGGCTCAGCACCCCCAGGTGGCACCGAACTCTCAGGCACAGTACCCTCAGCTCCAGCACCCGCAGTCCCAGCACCCCCAGGCCCAGCACCCGCAGGCTCAGCACCCCCAGGCTCAGCACTCCCAGCAGTACCACCTGCAGCAGCACCTGAGTCACCTGTGACCTCGACAGGCTCAGCGACGGGAGGAGGGTCTACCTGAGAGACACCTGAAGGAGCAGGACCCTGAGGGGGAAGGGGGTCTACCGGAGGGGGACCAGGAGCAAGGAAAAGCGGCGGGGGAGGGAGGGGGGCAGTGCGGTAGGGGAAGAGACGGTAAAAAGGGACCGACTCGTCAAAGGTGACATCCTGAGAGGCGAAGACCCGGCGCGAGGTGGGGTGGTAAAACTGCCAGCCAGGCGCGTCAGGGACAAAGCCAAGGAAGACACAGGGAAGCGTGCGGGAGGAGAGCTTGTCCGCGGACGTATCGCGGACAAGGGCACGAGCACCCCACACCCGGAAGCGCGACGCATCGCCAACCTCCCCCGTCCAACGCAGTGTGGGCGAGGTCTCCGGCAAGGAGACACGGGGCCAGAGGTTGAGCTGATGCGCGGCGTACCGGACAGCAAACGGCCACAGAAAATGGGGAGCCGCCGCGTGGACCAAGGAGGTACGAGCGACCTCCATGACCAGGCCAATGCGGCGCTCAGCAACCCCATTCTGCTGTGGGGAGTCCGGAAGCGTGAAGGTCTGCTCGATGCCCTCCGCCTGACAGAAGGTCCTCAAGAGGTCGGAGGAAAACTCACCACCTCTGTCAGAGTGCAGACGCAGGACAGGAAGATCCGTCCGGAAACGGCGGCGGAGCTGGAGACGAACTGTGCGGATCCAAGGGATCAGAACAGCAGGGACCTCACCCTTGGTGCGCAAGGGGAAGACCGTGGTGTAACGCGAGTAGTCGTCGACAACCAGCAAAAAGTACCGCTCACCGCCCTGGCCACGAACGCGGGCTGGGCCCCACACGTCCAGGTGGAGGGTCTGCAGAGGAGCCTCTGTCAGGGGGAACGAGGAGGAGTGAGGAGCGGCGCGCTGCCGCCCCTCGACGCAAGGAAGGCAAGGCGGCGCAGGCGAGGAAGGGAGAGGAGGGAGGGACCTGGGAAGACCAGACACAAGGCGGCGACGGTGCATGCCACGGAGGCGTGGCAAGGAGGGGTGACCCAGGCGGTGGTGCCAGAGAAGAGTCTGGTGCGACAGGGAACGACACTCACAGGCGTGGGCCACCAGACCTGACGCGGACACCTGACCGACAGCAGCGACCTGAGGAGACGCAGTGGTCAGTGTGTAGAGACTCGACCCCGGCCGACGAGTAAACGTAGCCAGGTGACGGCCGGTCCTGGAGCACGTGCAGATCGCCACACGCTGTCCTCCAGGGGTAAAGGTGTCAACCCACTGATCCTGGATGACAGCGTTGCTCACCAGGTTCGTCGAGAACGAGGGGAGGTGGAAACCCGTCAACGAGCCAGACGGAACCGCCGGACAAGGGAGCACAGTGGTGGACTGGGCAAGGACTGGGCCCCCAGAGGGGTCAGCCAAGGAGACTGGGACCGGTGCAGGAAGCGGTGTGAGCTCAGTACTGTCTCGAAAGAAGCAGCGGGAAGCACCTGAGTCAAGGGTGAAGGTGTGACAGGTCTCAGCCGGTGCAGTACCTGAGAGAGCAGTCTCTGTGGGTGCTGTACCTGAGAGAGCAGACTCGCAAGCAGCAGGGACAGTGCTGGAGGGAGCAGGTACAGGGGGCACCATACCAGAGAGAGCAGACTCACTAGTACCTAGGGCAGCGGGCCCTATACCTGGGTCAGGCGGCACACACAAGTAACAGTCTCCCTCGGCACTAACAGTCAATGCATACATGGCAGCAATAATAGCATCATAGTCAAGAGCAAAGATATCAACACCAGCCCTCATCAGCTCAGCCCAGCGAGGGCGCTCAACATCCTCGCCCATCTCCTCACGCCAAGCGTCGTCAAGGCGGAAGAAGCAGCGGTACTGAGTGTGGAACTTTCCACACGTCTGCCCCTTGCGATCACCTGTGCGAATGACATAGGAACAGCGGCCACTGCCCCCCGACGTCCCACGCTGAGCAAGCCACTCACGAAGCTGCTGGGTCGTCTGGGGACGCTGCTGCTGCTGGGAGCTCTGGCCCGAGCCGGTGCCTCCACTCCGACCTCCACCGCCGCCACTACCTCCGCTCCGACCGCCACCACCGCCACCGCCACTACCGCCACCGCCGCCACTGCCGCCGCTGCCACCACCGCCACTGCTCCCGCCGCCGCCCCCGCCTCCGCCGCCGGCCCACACCCACCGGCACTCCCGCCACCGCTCCCTCCAGCACCGCCTCCCCCCCCCCCCCCCACCTCCCCCACCCCCTCCCCCCCCAGCGCCACCCCCGCCACCCTTGCCCCCCTTGCCCTTGCCGGTGCGGCGCCTCCCACCAGGAGCAGAAGCAGCGCCAGCAGACTCAGCACCAAGGAAGTCAACAGCAGCAGCAGTAGCATAGGAGGGAGCGAGGGGAGAGGGAGAGCACCCCTCAAAGATGGGGGTGCGAGGAGCGCCGCGAGCAGCACCTACAGCTACAATGCTCTTCTCGGCTGCTAGCAGCTTCTCCTCTAGGAGGGCGACAGTGAGCTCAGTGGGACAGCGAGCAAGGAAATAGTCGCGCACTGAGCTGAGGGTGTCAGGGAGACGGGTGACTATGAAGTGGAGTGCCCAGTACAGGGGAGGGGGGTTCTTAGCGCAGAACTCGGTGGGAAGGGCGGCACGCAGGCGAGCATCACTAGTGCGAAGGTGGGTGATAAGATCGGCGACTGTAGCAAAGGTGGACAGGTCAGGGAACAGGTAAGGCAGCATGAGACGGCTAAGCTCGGCTGTGGCAGGTGAGGAGTAGCGAGCAACGACAGCGTCGTATAGGGCTTTAGCGGTTTTGCAGTCGCCAAAGTGCTCTAGCTCAGCTAACGGCAGGTGACTGCGAATAGCCAGGCGAGCTGCAGCGTCACGAGTCTGCCACTGTGAACGTACACTAAGCTCGGCTGTGGCAGCAGGAGCAGCGGCAGCACCAGACGCGTAGTCATAGAGGGAGATGTGGTCCGTGCTATTGCTCATAAGATACAACTGCAGGTCGTCGAGCCAGGAAGTGAACTGCACGGGACGGCCCTCAGCATCGAAGGAAAGAACGCGAATAGAGGCCATAGCTCAGGCGTGAGGGCACAGCAGAGCAGCGGCAGCAGCAGAGGGGACGCGCTAGAGCGAAGCTAGCAGCCACAGCAGGAGCAAGCGGCGGTGCACAGGCAGGGAGCAGCAGGCGAGGCGGGCGGCGCTGCAGGCGGGAAGTGCGGCGGGCGGGCTGCGAAGCGGGCAGCGGGGCGGGCGGGCGACGCGGCGAGCGGGCAGCGCGGCGGGCGGCTGCGAAGCGGGCAGCGGGCGGGCGGGCGACGCTGCAAGCGGGCAGCGGGCGGGCGGGCGACGCTGCAAGCGGGCAGCGAGGCGGGAGGGCGACGGTGCGTGAAGCGGGCAGCGGGCGGGCGGGCGACGCTGCGAGCGGGCGACGCTGCGAGCGGGCAGCGAGCGAGCGGGCGACGCTGCGAAGCGGGCAGCGGGCGAGCGACGCTGCGAGCGGGCAGCGAAGCGGGCGGGCCGCGAAGCGGGCAGCGAGCGGGCGGCGAGCTGCGAAGCGAGCGGGCGAGCGGGCTGCGAAGCGGGCAGCGGGGCGAGCGGGCGACGCTGCGAGCAGGCAGCGCGGCGGGCGGGCGACGCTGCGAGCAGGCGGCTCGGCGGGCGGGCGACGCTAGCGAGGGCGCGCGAGGGCGCTAACGAGGGGCGCTCGAGGGCGCTAGCGAGGGCGCGCGAGGGCGCTAACGAGGGGCGCGCGAGGGCGCTAGTGAGGGCGCGCGAGGGCGCTAACGAGGGCGCGCGAGGGCGCTAACGAGGACGCACGAGGGCGCTACGAGGCTAGGGCACGGGGTAGCGTGGTAACCGCATGCGAGCGGTGGTGGGCCCTTAAAAGAAACGGTCGATAGGTCCTAGGGACCTCCTGCTCTGAATACCATGTCAACAGGACTAAGCAAGAATGTCTCATTCAATGGAAGAATTGGGTACAAGTAGCAAACCCTAGTTGGGGTTGTACCCCATACTGGCTACCCACTACAGCCTACCAACATAACACAGTTTAACACTCGCAACCCTCCCACGCCATCGCTGGCTTGGCAATAGGACTAGACAAGCGCAGCCTTATGACCCGGCGGAAGAGAAACGCTCGAAACGAGCGCTCTCAACCCAAAACGTGGAAGGATCCGCACATGTGCAGGAAGTGCATCGGGCGCTCTTCATTCGCGAGCGCCGATGACCGATGATGCTCGCAACCCTCCCACGCCCTTGCTGGCTTGGTAATAGGACCAGACAAGTGCAGCCACGTGAGCCGGCGGAAGAAAAACGCTCGAAACGAGCGCTCCCACCCCCAAAACGCGGAAGGATCCGCACATGTGCAGGATGTGCAGCGGGCACTCTTCATTCGCGAGCGCCGATGACCGATGATGCTTGCAACCCTCCCACGCCCTTGCTGGCTTGGCAAGAGGACCAAACAAGCGCAGCCACGTGAGCGGTCGGAAGAAAACGTTCGAAACGAGCGCTCCCACCCCCAAAACGCGGAAGGATCCGCACATGTGCAGGAAGTGCAGCGGGCACTCTTCATTCGCGAGCGCCGATGACCTATGATGCTCGCAACCCTCCCACGCCCTTGCTGGCTTGGTAATAGGACTAGACAAACGCAGCCACGTGACCCATCGGAAGAAAAACGCTCGAAACGAGCGATCCCACCCCCAAAACATGGAAGGATCCGCACATGTGCAAAAAGTGCAGCGGGCGCTCTTCATTCGCGAGCTCCGATGACCGATGATGCTCGCAACCCTCCCAGGCTTTTGCTGGCTTGGTAATAGGACCAGACAAGCGCAGCCACATGACCCGGCGGAAGAGAAACGCTCGAAACGAGCGCTCCCAACCCCAAAACGCGGATGGATCCGCACATGTGCAGGAAGTGCTGCGGGCGCTCTTCATTCGCAAGCGCCGATGACCGATGGTGCTCGCAACCCTCCCACGCCCTTGCTGGCTTGGTAATAGGACCAGACAAGCGCAGCCACATGACCCGGCGGAAGAGAAGCGCTCGAACGACCGCTCCCACCCCCAAAACGCGGAAGGATCCGCACATGTGCAGAAAGTGCAGCGGGCGCTCTTCATTCGCGAGCGCCGATGACCGATGATGCTCGCAATTTCAGAATAACTAGCCAAGAATGAATGAACTAGCAGAAGTTTGGGTACAAATATGAAACCCTAGTTGGGGTTGTACCCCATATTGGCTACCCCACTACAGCCTACAAGCATACTACAGTTTGACATACCCCCATAGGCAAAGTGGGGGAGAACAAAGGGTCACAAGACCAGTCCAGCAAAGCAAAGCAAAGCAAAGCCCAGGGTGGATCACAACGTCACCACACTCCGAGCACAAGTAAAGGCCACAAGGCCAGTTCACATGCAGTGCTAGATATAGTACAAGACAAGCAACACAGTGATCAAAACCTAGCAAGCAAGCAACAAGATATATATAAAGTACAGTACAAAGAATGTCAAGCAGTGAGCAAGTGAGGAAACGTGGCCACAAGGCCACAAGGCCTAAAGAAGTACAGTGCCGCTGATGATCACTAGGCAGGAGCGCCTTGGTGAAGATATCAGCAGTGTTGGCCTTCGAGTCCACGTACACAAGCCGAAGCTGACCGCGCTGCTGAAGCTCTCGAGCAAGAAAGTAGCGAAGAGCAATGTGCTTCGTCCTGTGCTCCAGTCTGTGCTCCTGACACAAGGCAAGGGCCGCCTTGTTGTCACCGTACAGAACTGGAGGAGAACTAGGCCGCTCTCCCAAGTCAGTCAGCAGGTAGGTGAGCCAGCGTAACTCCTGTGCAGCCATGGCTGTGGCGTAGATCTCAGCCTCACAACTAGAGCCGAGAACAGAGGAAGAGCGGGTGGACCGCCACGAGACAGAACCAGAGCCAAGGCTGAAGGTGTAACCCTGTGACGACCGCTGCGTAGCCAGGTCGTCCACCCAAGAAGCGTCCGAGTGACCAGTGAGGACAACTCTGTCGCGTCCTCCAAGCACCAGCCCCATGCCTGATGTACTGCACAAGTAACGCAGCACCCTCTTAGCCGCCTCCCAGTGCTCTCGCCTGTGTCTCCCAGGCGCAACGTAACGAGCAAGGATGCTAAGAGGGTACGCGAGGTCAGGTCGCGTGCAAGTCATCAGGTACATGAGGCAGCCTACAAGCTCTGGGTACGGGCCACTCGGCTCTACGGACTCGTCCGAAGGTGGAGCTGAGAGCGAGTGGCTGGTAGCCAGAGGTGTGGCCTGTGGTGAGGAGAACTGGAAGCCGAAGCGCTGAAGGACCTGCTGCACCATGTGTGACTGAGTCAGGGTGATGGTGCGGCGAGCTCTGTCCCGGGTGATCTGCAAGCCAAGGTAGCTACGCAGTTCACCCAGGTCAGTGCAGGTGTGTCTCTTCTGCAGCTCCGACTTCACACGAGCGAGTGCCTCAGTGTCAGCAGTAGCAAAGACCAAGTCGTCGACGTACACTAGAATGTAGAACGGCGGCAGCGACGTGTCTGTGCGCAGAAACAGCGACGGGTCAGCAGTAGACGGCGCGAACCCAAGAGCCGCAAGTGTAGTCCTCAGTGTGTCGTGCCACTCATGTGGCGCCTGGCGGAGACCGTAGACTGGCCGGCGGAGGCTCCACTGGGTACCAGGAGGAAACGACCCAGTAAAGCCAGGTGGGCGGCGCAGCCAGATCTCCTCGTGCAGGCTGCCCTGCAGGAACGCTGTGCTGAAGTCAAGAGAGTGAAGCTCGTAGTCACGCTGAGCAGCAACGTGCAGCAGAACCCGAAGAGTGGTCATCTTCGGGGTGGGGGAGAAGGTCTGGAAGAAGTCGACCCCCTGACGCTGACTGAAGCCTCTAGCAACGTAACGAGCCTTGAAGACAGGCGGAGAACCTGGCGGCCGCTTCACCCTGAAAATCCACATGCCATCGACGATGTTCGCCCCAGGAGGGGGAACCTCGTCGACGTAGGTGCCTGTGGACTTCCAGGATGCCATCTCTGCGTCCATGGCTGTCTGCCACTGAGAGGAGTAGGGACCCGAGATCGCCTCTGCGTAAGTGCGCGGAGTGGGGATGTCTAGTGCATCCGGGTCTCCCTCAGGGGCAAGCAACCAGGCCACGAGATGAGGTACAGCAGCCGCAAGAGAGTCAAGGTCCTCCTGCCTGTCCTCAAGGACGTCCGTGCCAAGAGCACACTCACCCCCGACGGACGGAGGACAGACAGACGCAGACTCAGGCTCAGCAACAAGGCTAGCAGCGTAGTCTAGACGACAGGCAGCAGCAAAGTCAACCAACTCAGAGCAGACGCAGCCGAGGACTCAAAGGTAGGGTCAGTGACAACAGTAGCGAGGAGACGCGTGACTGTAGGGTGCTCAGCGCGATACCGGTCAGACTCAGGGTCCGGAACGGCAGGCAAAGAGGACGCAGGAGGAGACGGTAGAGGGACACGCCGAGGAGCAGTAGAGGGACGCAGAGTCATGTAGTGAGTGCCTGGGACAGGAGGAGGACGCTCACGATGGACACGACTACCAGCGCGAGCAGGACGAACAGGCGACGCAGGACGAGACTCAGGCTCACGACGCTCTGTAAGACCTCCTGTGGGACCAGTATAAGGAGAGGGAGCAAGGAGAGGCGAGGCAGGCGGTAACTGTGACTGCGGCTGGACAGGCGGAGGACACTCTACGGAGGGAGGAGGACAAGGAGGAGGAGCCTGCCCAAGAACCTGCTGAAGGAGCGGTACGAAGTACGGTCGCGGCCGCGCAGCGTCTCCAGAAGCAGAAGAGACTCCAGCGGCCGGGTCCTCAGGACCAGTAGGAGCTCCAACGTCCGGGTCCCCAGCACCAGCAGCAGCACCACCGCTCAGGTCCTCAGCTCCAGCAGCAGCTCCACCAGGCGGGTCCGCAGCACCAGCAGCAGCGCCACCCCCAGAGTCGGCAGCTCCAACTCCGCTAGCACCGCCAGCGCCAGAGTCCCCAGCTCCAGCAGCTCCAGTCGCAGTGCTCCCAGAACAACCAGTCCCGGCAGCTCCAGTACCCCCAGTACGAGCACCCCCAGGACGAGCAGCCCCAGCACCCCCAACTCCAGCCGAGCCACTAGGACGGCGAAAGCGCCGGACGTACCAGTCACGAAGCTGCTGCGGTGTGAGAGACTGCTCAGCACCCCGAACCGGAGCACCCCCAGACGCAGTAACCCGAGGCTCCGTAGGCTCAGTAGCAGCACCCCCAGGCTCAGTACCCGCAGGCTCAGTACCCGCAGGCTCAGCACCCCCAGTCGCAGCACCCCCAGGCTCAGCACCCCCAGGCGGCAACTCCTCCAGGCACAGTACCCTCAGCTCCAGCACCCCGCAGTCCCTCCCGCACTCCCAGGCCTCGCACCCGCAGGCTCAGCACCCCCAGGCTCAGCACTCCCAGCAGCACCACCTGCAGCAGCACCTGAGTCACCTGTGACCTCGACAGGCTCAGCGACGGGAGGAGGGTCTACCTGAGAGACACCTGAAGGAGCAGGACCCTGAGGGGGAAGGGGGTCTACCGGAGGGGGACCAGGAGCAAGGAAAAGCGGCGGGGGAGGGAGGGGGGCAGTGCGGTAGGGGAAGAGACGGTAAAAAGGGACCGACTCGTCAAAGGTGACATCCTGAGAGGCGAAGACCCGGCGCGAGGTGGGGTGGTAAAACTGCCAGCCAGGCGCGTCAGGGACAAAGCCAAGGAAGACACAGGGAAGCGTGCGGGAGGAGAGCTTGTCCGCGGACGTATCGCGGACAAGGGCACGAGCACCCCACACCCGGAAGCGCGACGCATCGCCAACCTCCCCCGTCCAACGCAGTGTGGGCGAGGTCTCCGGCAAGGAGACACGGGGCCAGAGGTTGAGCTGATGCGCGGCGTACCGGACAGCAAACGGCCACAGAAAATGGGGAGCCGCCGCGTGGACCAAGGAGGTACGAGCGACCTCCATGACCAGGCCAATGCGGCGCTCAGCAACCCCATTCTGCTGTGGGGAGTCCGGAAGCGTGAAGGTCTGCTCGATGCCCTCCGCCTGACAGAAGGTCCTCAAGAGATCGGAGGAAAACTCACCACCTCTGTCAGAGTGCAGACGCAGGACAGGAAGATCCGTCCGGAAACGGCGGCGGAGCTGGAGACGAACTGTGCGGATCCAAGGGATCAGAACAGCAGGGACCTCACCCTTGGTGCGCAAAGGGAAGACCGTGGTGTAACGCGAGTAGTCGTCGACAACCAGCAAAAAGTACCGCTCACCGCCCTGACCACGAACGCGGGCTGGGCCCCACACGTCCAGGTGGAGGGTCTGCAGAGGAGCCTCTGTCGGGGGGAACGAGGAGGAGTGAGGAGCGGCGCGCTGCCGCCCCTCGACGCAAGGAAGGCAAGGCGGCGCAGGCGAGGCAGGGAGGGGAGGGAGGGACCTGGGAAGACCAGACACAAGGTGGCGACGGTGCATGCCACGAAGGCGTGGCAAGGAGGGGTGACCCAGGCGGTGGTGCCAGAGAAGAGTCTGGTGCGACAGGGAACGACACTCACAGGCGTGGGCTACCAGACCTGACGCAGACACCTGACCGACAGCAGCGACCTGAGGAGACGCAGTGGTCAGTGTGTAGAGACTCGACCCCGGCCGACGGGTAAACGTAGCCAGGTGACGGCCGGTCCTGGAGCACGTGCAGATCGCCACACGCTGTCCTCCAGGGGTAAAGGTGTCAACCCACTGATCCTGGAGGACAGCGTTGCTCACCAGGTTCGTCGAGAACGAGGGGAGGTGGAAACCCGACAACGAGCCAGACGGAACCGCCGGACAAGGGAGGACAGTGGTGGACTGGGCAAGGACTGGGCCCCCAGAGGGGTCAGCCAAGGAGACTGGGACCGGTGCAGGAAGCGGTGTGAGCTCAGTACTGTCACGAAAGAAGCAACGGGAAGCACCTGAGTCAAGGGTGAAGGTGTGACAGGCCTCAGCCGGTGCGGTACCTGAGAGAGCAGTCTCTGTGGGTGCTGTACCTGAGAGAGCAGACTCGAAAACAGCCGGGACAGCACTGGAGGGAGCAAGTACAGGGGGCACCATACCAGAGAGAGCAGACTCACTAGTACCCAGGGCAGCGGGCTCTATACCTGGGTCAGGCGGCACACACAAGTAACAGTCTCCCTCGGCACTAACAGTCAATGCATACATGGCAGCAATAATAGCATCATAGTCAAGAGCAAAGACATCAACACCAGCCCTCATGAGCTCAGCCCAGCGGGGGCGCTCAACATCCGCACCCATCTCCTCACGCCAAGCGTCGTCAAGGCGGGAGAAGCAGCGGTACGGGGTGTGGAACCTCCCACACGTCTGTCCCTTGCGGTCACCTGTGCGAATGACATAAGAACAGCGGCCACTGCCCCCCGACGTCCCACGCTGAGCAAGCCACTCACGAAGCTGCTGGGTCGTCTGGGGACGCTGCTGCTGCTGGGAGCTCTGGCCCGAGCCAGTGCCTCCACTCCGACCTCCGCCGCCACCACTACCACTCCACTGCGCCGACCCGCCACCGCCACCACCGCCACCACCGCCGCCGCCACCGCCGCCGCCGCCACTACTGCCACTGCTTCCTCCGCCGCCCCCGCCTCCACCACCGACCCCACTCCCACCAGCGCTCCCGCCACCGCTCCCTCCAGCACCGCCTCCCCCCCCACCTCCCCCACCTCCTCCCCCCCCAGCGCCACCACCACCACCACCCTTGCCCCCCTTGCCCTTGCCGGTGCGGCGCCTCCCACCAGGAGCAGAAGCAGCGCCAACAGACTCAGCACCAAGGAAGTCAACAGCAGCAGCAGCAGCGTAGGAGGGAGCGAGGGGAGAGGGAGAACACCCCTCAAAGATGGGGGTGCGAGGAGCGCCACGAGCAGCACCGACAGCTACAATGCTCTTTTCGGCCGCGAGCAGCTGCTCCTCTAGGAGGGTGACTGTGAGCTCAGTGGGACAGCGAGCAAGGAAGTGGTCTCGAACTGAGCTGAGGGTGTCAGGGAGACGGGTGACTATGAAGTGGAGTGTCCAGTACAGTGGAGGGGGGTTCTTAGCGCAGAACTCGGTGGGAAGGGCGGCACGCAGGCGAGCATCACTAGTGCGAAGGTGGGTGATAAGATCGGCGACTGTAGCAAAGGTGGACAGATCGGGGAACAGGTACGGCAGCATGAGGCGGCTAAGCTCGGCTGTGGCAGGCGAGGAGTAGCGAGCAACGACAGCATCGTACAGGGCCTTAGCGGATTTGCAGTCGCCAAAATGCTCGAGCTCAGCTAGCGGCAGGTGACTGCGAATGGCTAGGCGAGCAGCTGCGTCACGAGTCTGCCAGTGGGAACGAACACTAAGCTCGGCTGTGGCAGCAGGAGCAGCGGCAGCACCAGACGCGTAGTCATAGAGGGAGATGTGGTCCGTGCTATTGCTCATAAGGTACAACTGCAGGTCGTCGAGCCAGGAAGTGAACTGCACGGGACGGCCCTCAGCATCGAAGGAAAGAACGCGAATAGAGGCCATAGCTCAGGCGTGAGGGCACAGCAGAGCAGCGGCAGCAGCAGAGGGGACGCGCTAGAGCGAAGCTAGCAGCCACAGCAGGAGCAAGCGGCGAGGCGGGCGGGCGCTGCAGGCGGGATGCGCGGGCGGGCTGCAAGTGAGCGGGCGACGCTGCGAAGCGGGCAGCGGGCGAGCGGGCGAACACTGCGGAGGCAGTAGCGGCGGGGGGCGGCGCGGCGAGCGGGCAGCGAAGCGGGGACCGCGAAGCGGGCAGCGAGCGGGCGGGCGGGCTGCGAAGCGGGCAGCGGGGCGAGCGGGCTGCGAAGCGGGCGGGCCGCGAAGCGGGCAGCGAGCGGGCGGGCGGGCTGCGAAGCGGCGGGGCCGCGAAGCGGGCAGCGGCGAGCGGGCTGCGAGCGGGCGGGCCGCGAGCGGGCAGCGAGCGGGCGCCGGGCTGCGAAGCGGGCAGCGGGGCGAGCGGGCTGCGAAGCGGGCGGGCCGCGAAGCGGGCAGCGAGCGGGCGGGGCCGCGAAGCGGGCGGGCCGCGAAGCGGGCAGCGAGCGGGCGGGCGGGCTGCGAAGCGGGCAGCGGGACGAGCGGGCTGCGAGCGGGCGGCTCGGCGGGCGGGCGACACTGCAAGGGGCGCGCGAGGGCGCTAGTAAGGGGCGCGCGAGGGCGCTAGCAAGGGGCGCGCGAGGGCGCTAACGAGGGGCGCGCGAGGGCGCTAACGAGGGTGCGCGCGAGGGCGCTAACGAGGGGCGCGCGAGGGCGCTAACGAGGACGCACGAGGGCGCTACGAGGCTAGGGCACGGGGTAGCGTGGTAACCGCATGCGAGCGGTGGTGGGCCCTTAAAAAAAAAACGGTCGGTAGGTCCTAGGGACCTCCTGCTCTGATACCATTTCAGAATAACTAGCCAAGAATGAATGAACTAGCAGAAGTTTGGGTACAAATATGAAACCCTAGTTGGGGTTGTACCCCATATTGGCTACCCCACTACAGCCTACAAGCATACTACAGTTTAACACGCAACCCTCCGCGCTTGCTGGCTTGGTAATAGGTCCAGACAGCGCAGCCCACCACGTGAGCCGGCGAAGAAAAAAACGCTCGAAACAAGCGCTCCCAACCCAAAACACGGAAGGATCCGCACATTTGCAGGAAGTACAGCGAGCGCTCTTCATCGCGAGTGCCGATGGCTGATGATGCTCGCAACCCTCCCACGCCCTTGCTGGCTTGGTAATAGGACCAGACAAGCGCAGCCACGTGACCCGGCGGAAGAAAAACGCTCGAAACGAGCGCTCCCCAACCCAAAACGCGGAAGGATCCGCACATGTGCAGGAAGTGCAGCAGGCGCTCTTCATTCGCGAGCGCCGATGACCGATGATGCTCAAACCTCCCACGCCCTTGCTGGCTTGGTAATAGGACCAGACAAGCGCAGCCACGTGAGCCGGCGGAAGAAAAACGCTCGAAACGAGCGCTCCCAACCCCAAAACGCGGAAGGATCCGCACATGTGCAGGAAGTGCAGCGGGCACTCTTCATTCGCGAGCGCCGATGATCGATGATGCTCGCAACCCTCCCACGCCCTTCCTGGCTTGGCAATAGGACCAGACAAGCGCACCCACGTGAACTGTCGGAAGAAAAACGCTCGGAATGAGCGCCACCACACGGAAGGATCCGCACATGTGCAGGAAGTGTTGCGGGAGCTCTTCATTCGCGAGTGCCGATGACTGATGATGCTCACAACCCTCCCACGCCCTTGCTGGCTTGGTAATAGGACCAGACAAGCGCAACCAAAACGCTCGAAACGAGCGCTCCCACCCCCAAAACGCGGAAGGATCCGCACATGTGCAGGAAGTGCAGCGGGCGTTCTTCATTCGCGAGCGCGCGATGACTGATGATATGCTCGCAACCCTCCCACGCCCTTGCTGGCTTGGAAATAGGACCAGACAAGCGCAGCCACGTGAGCCGGAAGAAAACGCACGAAACGAGCACTTCAAGCCCCAAAATATAGAATGTTCTGCACATGTGCAGGAAGTGCAGCGGGCGCTCTTCATTCGCGAGCGCCAATGACCGATGATGCTTGCAACCCTCCCACGCCCTTGCTGGCTTGGTAATAGGACCAGACAGCGCAGCCACGTGAGGCGCGGAAAAAAACGCTCGAAACGAGCGCTCCCACCCCCAAAACGCGGAAGGATCCGCACATGTGCAGGAAGTGCAGCGGGCGCTCTTCATTCGCGAGCGCCGATGATCGATGATGCTCGCAACCCTCCCACGCCCTTCCTGGCTTGGCAATAGGACAAGACAAGCGCACCCACGTGAGCTATCGGAAGAAAAATGCTCGAAACGAGCGCTCGCGGAAGGATCCGCACATGTGCAGGAAGTGCTGCGGGCGCTCTTCATTCGCGAGTGCCGATGACTGATGATGCTCGCAACCCTCCCACGACCTTGCTGGCTTGGTAATAGGACCAGACAAGCGCAGCCACGTGAGCCGTCGGAAGAAAAACGCTCGAAACGAGCGCTCCCACCCCCAAAACGCGGAAGGATCCGCACATGTGCAGGAAGTGCAGCGGGCGTTCTTCATTCGCGAGCGCCGATGACCGATGATGTTCGCAACCCTCCCACGCCCTTGCTGGCTTGGTAATAGGACCAGACAAGCGCAGCCACGTGAGCCGGCGGAAGAAAAACGCTCGAAACGAGCGCTCTCCCACCCCCAAAACGCGGAAGAATCCGCACATGTGCAGGAAGTGCAGCAGGCGCTCTTCATTCGCGAGTGCCGATGGCTGGTGATGCTCGCAACCCTCCCACGCCCTTGCTGGCTTGGTATGGACCAGACAAGCGCAGCTAAGTGAGCCGGGGAAGAAAACGCACGAAACGAGCACTTCAAGCCTCAAAATAGAATGTTCTGCACATGTGCAGGAAGTGCAGCGGGCGCTCTTCATTCGCGAGCGCCAATGACCGATGATGCTCGCAACCCTCCCACGCCCTTGCTGGCTTGGTAATAGGACCAGACAAGCGCAGCCACGTGAGGCGGCGGAAGAAAAACGCTCGAACGAGTGCTACCACCCCCAAAACGCGGAAGGATCCGCACGTGTGCAGGAAGTGCAGCGGGCGCTCTTCATTCGCGAGCGCCGATGACCGATGATACTCGCAACCCTCCCACGACCTTGCTGGCTTGGTAATAGGACCAGACGAGTGCAGCCACGTGACCTGGCGGAAGAAAAACGCTCGAAATGAGCGCTTC